GTCCGCTGTTTTGATATAGTACTATAGTTGTAAATGACAGAGAAACAATAAGGGTTTCAGTCGCTCGTTAAGCTTGTCGTAATACTACACTTGTCGGTGTTGGAGGAAAGTAAACGGTCGACAGTAATAGAGGTAGTAGTGAACGACTCGCGGAGTGCTTCGCAGGAAATAGACACTAATTTACCACGGAGATACCTACTTGGAAAAAACGGGTCTAAAACGATTCTAAAACGAACACTAGGGGAAAACGTCAGGTTCGAGTCTATACAGAGAAACCGAAGCAGTCTACAGAACAGGAAAAATGAAGACAACAACTTATACTTCTAGGAACCAAAGCACAGCCATCTGACTACTAGCGGGGAATATGTTTTAGCTCAACACAGATAACAAGACTAGTGGAATACTCAGCACAATCGACAACGAAAATCAACAAATTGTTGACAACAATACCACTACGGCCAGAATCAGATACATGATTTCGGCAGAGCATAACAGTTACAGTTTATGTTGCAGTGTCACAATTATTCGCGACAAGGGTCAGTAACAAAGCCAGCGCTATGCGGATTCCTTATACTATCATCAAGCTACTTAAATGAATATCAGGATCAGTAGGAGAGGCCAAGGAGCCCCTCATTTCAATGCAGGTGGAACCGATGTGGAAGTTTTTTGATACTCAGTTTGTCCTACACCCGAACCAAAATTATTGGTTAAATTCTTGAGTTGGTTTTTTCTATGCCTTCGTGAAAAGTGCCCCCGACAGAAACTAAGCGATCAGTGATCGAACACAACAGTCCCCTTAGGAAAGTATGCAAACCAACGGGCAATATCGGCACATGTCTCGGCAATTATCTGCATAGGGAAATTGCCAAATGATAGTGTTAGTTCAGTGGAGGCATAGGAGTACAGACTCAGGCGTTTCTTTAACACAATATGATACTGCCACTCGCGGTGACGCAAAGACAGCTAGTCTGGATACTAGCAATAAAAACTAAGAGCGCACGATCAATGAAAAATAAGACAATTATATCGCAAATGGCGCATCGCGGAACAAATTGCAGGGTTCGTATTCACAACGATCTACTGCAACATAACGTAACGAGAGTTTTATAATGGAATTTTCGACGAGAACAAGTTCACGGCTCCGCTCGTCGAAGAGTGCAATCCGGGCCATAGAGTATCCTGATCAAATGCTGGAACCTCTCTGGTTCATATCCGAATCCAATGCGGACTCGTCTGCGATTCGTTGAATGAAACGGCTCGAACTGCGAGCCTCGCAGCCCTCAGGCTCAAATGGATTAGATAAGAAGCCTTATTACCTATTATGGCTATCCCAGGTATTGTTGGGTCAACCAGTGCGGGTGTTACTAGGGCACCTGCACTGGTTGACTAGGTACTAGTGATGAGGAACAGTGACCGATGATCGACGATTATCATACTTTTCCCCACAATTGTCATTCAACATCCTTTCGTCTTATCGCTCGCCCTACTCGTGTCGCGTGACAACACGCGTGACGTGAC